GCACAGAGGGCTATGGCCAAGCACCCCAGTGAGCTCAGGTGAGTGCCAGTGGGCTTGCTTGCTTTTATTTGAATCAGTGTAAATGCCAGACTCCTCAGACTGTCAGGTTTGTTCAGACCCAATGCTTGTTGATCCGGGAATTCATCCTGAGGTGACTGGTTTGTTAATCCATTTCTAGCCTCCTTTTCCCCACTAGTCTGCCTACTGGAGGTTGATTCCCTGATTTCCACTACTTGGATTGATCGTTTGGCTTCTTTTTCACTTAAGGCTATGAAATCAAGTTTGAGGGGGTTTGGGTGTTGGTTTGGTTTTGGTTTTGTCTTTGGTTTGGTTTTGGTTAGTTGGTTTTTTGTGGCAGACTGTCTGTTACAATCCATGGAGCTTCAGCAACCATTAGCTACTGAGTGCCAGAGATAAGGCCTGATGAAGGCAAAAAATGGTTTTTAATAGAGTCAGGGTTACCAACACTCGCCCTTAGAATCCAGCAATGGAAAAAGAGCTTTGTTATTCTCTGCGGTTCGCAGCCGAGGTGTGAGGGAGGGAGCTCTCTGCTCACTTAAGGAGATATTATACAAAACATTAAACTCAATGAGGGTACCTGTCAAAATCTAAGAGACTTCATCTCTGCTGTTACCTACCTTCCATTATGGATTAATTTGACACTAATTGCAAAAATGATTTAATTTAGCTAATCTTCAGAAAATACTGTTTGAAAATTAAAATTAATGGCTAGGATAAAATCTATGCATTCTACCTGAATAAAATCTTGGACATGAAGGGCCAGGGACTGATACAGAAAGCTTAGATAGGAATTACCTCAAAAAATTGCATTTAATACATAATGCAATAGACAACCAAAAATTAATTAGAAGAAGAACACGACAGGTACCAGTGGAGGAAATGCCAAAGAAATCATTTACTGATGGAGAGGGATGGAAAAAAAAACCCAAATGTGAAGCATTTTAGCTCTAAAAAGAACTTTGGGACTATATTTTTTTAGATCTAAAAAACCTCAAGAAATTACACATTTTTTAATTACACAGTTTTAGTTATCCAAGTATTTATCAATTATCCACTGGACAAACGAGAGACTGTGATTTTTGGAAGTAGTTTTGTAGTTCAAAAGTCAAATTTGTACTAGCAAACTAATCACAGCTTTGTGATGCTCTTCCAAGTTCCTATTTCTGATAAAGGCACTGTGTAACATGATAGATTTTCATCTGTAGCAGATGGTACAAGTCCCTGAAGAATCGTACAGCAGCTGTTCCCAGGCAGAACACAACACACCCCGAGTACACTTCCTCTCTGCTCCCCCTGCACCCAGCGCAGCAGGGCTGCAGTGCCCCCGGCTCGGGGCACTCGGGGCAGCAGCGCCGTGTGCCAGAGGCTCTGGCCAGCAGAGGTGTGAGAGGTGCCAGCTCCAGGGCTGCACACCTCGTGCTCTTCCCACCAACGTCTTCCTTTGCATTCCTTTCCCTTCTTAAGTTTGGCACAGACAGTCTGCCTCGTCCGGGAGGTTGAGCAGTAATGTCTGAGCACACAAAGAGCACGGCTTCGCTTTTCCTTGGCTTTGCACTGAACAAAAGGGTGACAGTTCAGCACCTTCCCACTGCCCAGCCTGGCTGTGCAGCGCAGTGGGAACCCTGCCTGGCCCAGCACAGCCCCAGTGCCCGTTCCCTGTGTGCTCACCCCACGTAATTAGCAACGCGCGCAGCTTGCAAGGCAGAGCAGGCTCGGTCCTAACGCGCGGGTAATTAAGACATTGCAGTTGGCTATTTGCTAGGCTGACTCAGGGGAGTGGTAATAGGATACGCAGTCTTTCACCTTAAGTTCAGCCATTCTTGCCCCCAGATTCCCAGGTAGTGATCAGTAATTCCTCATTAACCCTGACACAAGCTGCATCTGACTCTACTCAGGCATGTTGGATGAGTTCTGAGCACATGTCTGCCAACAAGGACATTATCAGTCAGTGTCTCTGATAATTACATTTCAAAGTGAAGAACCCCACTGCTGTGAGTGAGCAGCAGAAGTTGATGTCTCCCTGTGGCATTATTTTAACTCCTCTTTGTTGTTGTTGTTCTCTCCAAACTCAACAAGCTATCATAAGCTGTCACAATAGCAGCAGATACAGATATAGGTTTTGATGACTACAAATTGACCACTGTTCTTAGATTCCCCTGCAAACAACTAATAGGAATACAACCATAAACATTGGACAAACATTTTTTAAACAATACCAAATCCAACACCTAAATTATAATGAAACTCCAAGAGGCCCCTGATTTCATGATCCTACCTGCACTGCCAAGAACATAAAGAATTGTTGGCCCTTGACATCATTCCCTTGCCAAAGGGCAATTACCTCCTCTGTATGCATTGCCTTAATCATGTCAAGTTGTGTCCCATAAATTTGCATGTCTCCCAAGGAAGCACAGTGCATTGCCAGCAGCCTGAGAGGCCACATCAAAACAATTTCCTGGTGTGTGTTTACATCAGCTTTGGCTCCCGAGCTGCTTTAGCTGCAGTTGCTCCTCAAAACAGCACAAATTCCCTCTCTCTTCAGACTGTAGTGCATTGGGGACAGAAGGTGGAATAAGCAGATATGGATGGGTACATTGTCCTTATCAGAACTGGGCTATACTTTCTAGATTAATGAACTGCAAATCAACTACACAAATGAAACCACACGCTGGATATAAACACAGTCCTCTGAGAGGGGCTTGTTGTCACAGGCAGAGAGGGAGGGAGGGAGTGTACACACAGATGTGTGACGGAGGGTGTAATGAATGCCAGCTTCCCTCCTGCCTCTCTGGGATACACGGGGATGACAAACTCTCTGAGGAACAATTCCTTTGACTGGTTCGTTGAGGAAAGGAAACTTGTCATGCTGCCAAGAATAAAACTGCTTCTGGGCTTAGTTCTGAATTTTATAAAGTGAATAAGTGAAAAATGTATACACATTCACTTCAGACCCAAGTCATGAATAATTAAAAGAATATATAATTGTACCCAGTTTTCCCCTCAAGCTCAACCAGCAAAGATATCTTCTGTCCATGTAACAGGGCGCTTCATGTGTTTTGTGGTTTTCTTCAGAACCTGTTAGAAGTGAGCTGAACCAAGTATCACTGAATACATCCTGCACCAAGCATGAATAACAGCCTGACCATCAGAGCACACAGAAACACAAACTGAGAACTCAACTGTTTCCTATGAGGGAAGCTGCAGATTTTTTGATTATGCACAAATATCTTCCTAGTGTGATTCATCCACCCTTGATATTGGATTAAGACCACAATATGATAAAAATAATATTATTAACACAGCATTATTGTAGACATTAATCTGATACTGCAAATGGCAAAGATCAGACCTTTTTTACAAGGCACAGAAAGATAAGAATGTTTACCATGTCAAAATAACCTCAGAAAACAAAAGTTATCTGTGCCTATGTGTAACTGTCTCCTTTTTCTGAAACAGGCAGACCTGCCAGTACAAATTAAGGACTGTGAGTTAAGAGTACACAACCACACATTTGTCTGCAGTGCTATTGGTGTACTGGGATTGTCTCACAGTCCTTATCTGGAAGAGGCAGATTCAAGAGATCTCCTGTTGCTGTTATTTTTCCACATTATTCCCACAGTTAATAGATCCCTCAGTTTTCAGCCAAAGTAAAATTAATATCCACTTTTCTTGAGGGCATAGAAATTTGCAAATATGGTATTAATAGCGATGCATTTAGTACCTTTCACTTGCAGATACAGAAATCTTATTTAAAGAGTAATGAAGAACATCAGTAGATTCTATAAACTAAATAATCATAACACGTCCCCCCACCAATACAGATAGAAGGATTTTCATGGCTGCCAAGCTGGCTCTTGCTTTCTCTCGTACCAGTATGGCTGTTTGTAGCAAACAAACTGTTCCCTGCTAGAGAAAAATATATAAATGCTCCTGAAATCATACCCACAGAGGAGGAACAGGTTCTCATTTGTGTGTAGGTAACAGCTCTGCCCCTGAAATGGCCAAGGTCTGGGCTTTGGTTTGACTCAGAAAGATGTGCATTCTCTGTATTTGTTGTACTTTTCCAGCTGAATTCCAAACACAAGTTCTTCACTGAGACCTGGCTTAGACCTTGGCTTCTTTTCAACAGCCAGGGATTTGTTCAGAGATAGAAAAAGACAAAACATGGGGGTGGGGGTGTCAGGAGATGTGAAGTGCAAGTCTGCTGAAGAACTAGTCCACTGCAGCATCGTGGGGTGGATCTGAAGTAGCTCAGGGCGAGTTGGGAGAGGGGACACAGAAAGACTGTGGGGAGGGTCACTATAGGATCAATAATCCCTCATGATATACCAAGACCATGAAACCCAGCTACTGCAGTGGGACAGCTGATTCCAATAGAATGGCTTTCCAGAGGTGGTGATAGGAATAGCAGAAGTGAACCAAAATATTGCACACTTCCTGCCCACAGATCTGAAAGCTGCTGCTCCATGATGTGCTGATCTTGTAATTTTGTATCACAGGTGTCTAAGACAGGAGCCAAATTATTTGGATGGGCTACAAAACCACAGCCCAAAGCCCTTACCATCAAAAAAGGGTAAAATAAAGTTGGGGGGAAAAAAATCCCACAACAGTATTTGAACTTCTTGCATAGGGAAAATAGCAAGAAGGAATTCTGTACAAATGCAGTCTGTACATGCAACCCCACAGAGACAGACATTCAAATTAATGTTTTCAAATTCCAACATTTCTGAGCTGCTGCTTGAACCACTTGAAAGGGGGGCACTTTTCATCTAGGTGGTGGGGTTTTTTTAGGTTACTAGAAAATATTTTTCTAATATGTAAAATGTGAAAGGACTATTAAAAAGATGGATGTTTTGTATTCTGTTGCTTTTGATGACTAATTTCTATTTAAAGGTTAATTGTGAAATATGTGATGCCCCAAAATCGTGTAACAGTTTATTCCTTCCATGTACAGGACAAATTCATGCAATAGAGCATTATTCCTTCAAGCCTGTTCTCTTTGGTAAAGCTTTCGTGTCAGAAAATGCTTATATTTGCAATTGTCTGATGTTTAGAAATAGAATTATTCAACATTCCCTCGTAGTTGGCTCTGACCTCTTGTTTGCGTGTGCTCTCGGTTCCATTTCGCACTCGATGGATTCCCAGCTATGTTGTGCCACCCCGTGTCAGAGATGGCGAATTGCACAATTTGCTGAGCATTGTGGCACGAGCTGGGCGTTGGAGTCCTGCAGACGACATTTAAACAGTTTGTGCATTTAAACAGTTTTATCAGCAACTGAAGCACATTTAGAAAAGCATTAGAAGTATTTAATATGACATTTAATTTTTCTTAAATTGTTAATTTACTGGAAAACTTTCAACCTCTTGACTTAGTAAGTCATGGTGGTCCAATACTGCTCTGTTGAAAGACAAGGAAAATTATCTGTTGGGTAATAAAATTATTCTCTACAGAAATTAATCTCATTTTATACTTTATACCAGAAAAGAACAGTACTGATTCAAAACCTGTACTGACAACTGGCAAACTTATGTTTGCTGATAAAACAAGGGGTGTTCAGGTAAGTTTTGATCCTTGTTAACCGAGTGGCCCCTAGAAGGGAACTTTTCTTCTCTGAGGTGCAATGTGCCCCTCTAGGAATCACAGACACCCTCGATCTTTACAGCTCAGCCAGACCCAGCTCATTCTGGAATAGTTCCAGCTGTCACAGATCCTCTGACAACAGGCTGAGCTCTCTTGCCATTCAGTCCTCAGTATCTGGGCAAGTACCTCACAAACTGATCACAAAAGCCTCATAACCACACCTTCACTATTAAAAGCTGGGCTGCTACAGACACAGGAAGTTCCAAAGTAGGAACACTGGTCAGGGGTTTGGTGTGCAGCTGGGAGCAGCCGCAAAAAAATCACATCCTTTAGCATGGAGCGTTTGGTCATCTTCTTGCATCCTTACCTCCACAAACACCAGTGACAAACAAAGGTGGCAGGATACATTTTTTCCTTTTTGTTGCTTTACTGTATTTCTCCCTACCAGTGGTTACATACTCTTTCTTTATACTTAAGTAGCTCTTGCTTTACATTTGTAACTTTTATGTGATAATGTATACAGGCCTCAGGCCATTTGCTGTGCATGATACTAGTTCTTTCTGAATATAGTTTCAATGCTCTAATTAATTTACCTTAATAATTGTGATTTTTTTCCTGTTATTTGTAGATTTTATCTTTGCTGGTTGGTGGTGCCTGTGCTTTCTTTTCTTCTTTAGTGTTATTTTTCTTTCTCATGTTTTCCATGCTTTTTCTGCACCTTTATGCCACTTCTTAATTGTTTCCACACTTCTCCACATCTGTCACATTCATTCCAAGTTCCTTCAGCACCCTAAAATAAAAAAAATTTGTTATTGTTATTGCAGCTATCAGGCAGTAGGTCAGCTGTGATTAAATCAGAAGCTGTCTGTATATTATAACGGTATGTTAGTGGTAGGTTCTAAACCTTAGCAAATCCTTACTTCCATCCTTATCTCCTCCTCCATAACGGTAAGTAACTACCATTAGCATTCTGAGGTATGTGAAAAACATTTTAAAAAATAGATTTGTGTAATGTCCTGAGCTTCTACTGTGCATATGTGATGAACAAGGTCTGTATTTTGGATGCCATATTTATACAGCTTAAGTTGTAGTGGCAAATGATGTGGAAATTCAGGGCCTTTGCTCCATAGCTCTGTAAGCAGTGCCTCGCTGGTTTGTAATACTAACATTATCTATCCAGTACCTGAAGGGAACTTACAGGAAAGATGGGGCAAGACTAGCCACAAGAGCATTTAGTGACAGGACAAGGGGGAATGGGTTCAAACTGAGAGTAGGTTTAGATTACGTACCAGGAAAAAATTCTCCCCTGTGAGGGTGGGGAGGCCCTGGCACAGGTTGCCCAGAGAAGCTGTGGCTGCCCCTGGATCCCTGGAAGTGTCCAAGGCCAGGTTGGACAGGGCTTGGAGCAACCTGGGCTAGTGGAAGGTGTCCCTGCCCATGGCAGGGGGTGGCACTGGATGATCTTCAGGGTCCCCTTCCACCCCAAACCATTCTGTGAGTCTCATGGAGAAGGTTCCACTCCTGCTTCTGACACTGCTCTCACAGTCCCCCACTGAAGTTCAGGCACAGCACTGTCGAACACACGGAGCTCAGTGAGGGGACTGTGCCTATTTCCCGTTCTGTATCCCGGGCTCGGTCTCTCGGGTAACACTCCTATGACAAGCGGCCAGCGGGCAGGGCGGTGCCGATGCCCAGGGACAGCAGCTAATTAGGGTTAATCACCTCCGGCCGAGGGCTGCCCGGGGCGGGGCCCGCCCGTGCCGCGATCCCTCGGAGGGCAGCGCCTCGGCCCCGGGGTCGAGAGCAATCCCTGGGCCGTCCTGAGCCAGGGGGGGACCCATCCCTGAGCCGTCCCTGAGCCGTCCCTGAGCCGTCCCTCAGCCATGGCGGGACTGGCAGGGGGCACTTGGTGCGTTCAGCCTGGAGGAGGCTGAGGGGAGACCTCGCCGCGGTCTGCAACATCCTCGTGAGGGGCAGAGGAGGGGCAGGCGCTGATCTCTGTTCTGTGGGGACCAGGGACAGGATCCAGGGAATGGCCTGGAGCTGTGTCAGGGGAGGTTTGGGCTGGATCTCAGGAAAAGGTTCTTTCCCCAGAGGGTGGTCAGGCACTGAACGGGCTCCCCAGGGCAGTGGGCACAGCACCAAGGCTGCCAGAGCTTCAGGAGGGTTTGGACAACGCTCTCAGGTACAGGGTGGGGTTGTTGGGGATGGCCTCATGCAGGGCCAGGAGCAGGACTGGATGATCCCGCTGGATCCCTTCCAGCTCTGCAATCCCAGTCCGTGTAATCCTTCCCTCCCGGCCCCGCCCCCGCCGGCCCCGCCCCCGCAGAGCGCGCGGTTTACGCGTGCGTGCGAGTGCCCGACCATCACGTGACGGGGCGGCGGATGCGCTTCCGGGTGAACGCGGGCCCGGCCCGGCCTGGCCTGTGCCGTCCGTGCCGTCCCTGCCCCGCGCTCTCCCCACAGGTACGGCCTCGGGGGGCGGGAGCGGCCAGCCGGGAGCCTCAGGCCGCTGCCCGGCCGCAGGTGCGCAGGGGGCTCGGCCGGGGCCGGACCGGGCGGCGCTGACGGTGACGGGCGAGAGGGACGGACAGGGACCCCCCCGGGGACGGACAGGGACCCCACGGCCCCGCCGTGCCAGGCACGGGGAGAGCTGTGAGCACTGAATCCCAGCTGGAAATCCCCCCTGCCCCGGGATATCCCTGCCCGGACGGGCGCAGAGCCGGGGCGCGGAAGTCAAAGGGTTGCTTTGGAGTGCCTTTTGTTTTAGTCCCTCCCTATTTCCTGCTGTTAACGCAATACGATAAATAGTAGTTGCTTGTTTCTGGGTGACTCGTGTGCATGTTTAAGTCCTACAGAGGAATATGATTTGTATTTAGGCAGGCTGTAAATTCTTTGTGACAGAAGTCAGTGTTTACCTGTAAGTGAGTCTGAGTGGCACAGAAATGCAGATCCCTCTGTTGCTGTGAGTGTGGATTTCAGAGCAGTGTTGGAGAGGAAAGCGGGACTATTTTCAGAGGTTTTCTCTTTTAGCTGTCTGATTTCTCTGTGCTTCAATGCTGAGGGAAAGGAGTAAAAAGGAGGCAAAGAACTGACATGTTTTTAATGAAAGCCCTTGTGTCACCTGATGCAAACTTGCAACAGATAAAGTCTGAATGTCTGTCTGAAGTCTGGGAAAGATGTCCTGTGTTCATGGTCACGTTCTGAAAGCCACTGGAATTATAGAAACATTTAGAAATTGCCGTGAGCTCCATCGCGTGGGTTTGTGCACCAGGAGATGTGTCTGTTCCTTGCTTTTGGCTTGCTGTAAAATCAAATGGGAAAATTACTTTTAGAGGCACCTCTTTAATGCCTGGAACCTGGAATTAACAGCTAATGTTTCTGTTGACACAGTGAGGTGAAATGTAGGGGGGGGAAAGTAGGCTAACCTTTGTTGAGGTTGATTTTGACTTTTTCAGGTGCAGACAGCTTTCTGTTCTTGACCCATCAAATGCATCATTCAGTCTGTGCTTGTCGTTGCAATGGCCTTGCAAAGAGAAATTTTATATCTGTTGGACTTCAGATGCAGAAGTGCTGATGGAGGACTGACTGTGGGTCTGTGTGTTGGATGGGCAGGTGGGACCATGGAAACGTGGAACTCCTGTTTATTTGTGTGTTTGCCTGCGAACTCAGAGGGGAAAACCTAATTAATTTTTGCAAGGAGTCTTTAACTTCATGAATAAAATGATCTTAAGCTTTCTGTTGTCATTCCCCCTCTCCCCCTTTATTAAATATTTGGGACAGACTAGAGTCCCTGTTTAGCTGTACAGTAAATTTTAAAAACTGGCAATTTTTAGTAGGCTTCTTAAGACTGTTGTACTTGATATTCCAGTACCTACCAGCTGAGGCAGCTTGGCATTAATGAGAGAATTCTGAAAATTATCTATTCTTTTAGGAAAAAGGATGGAAACAGTGTTGTTTAACCTCTGGTGCAAGCAGTGTTGTTCTTCAGATGCAAACTACAGTGGGTTTAACCCACTGTTCTGGAATGGAAATGTGTTCATCAGCTGCAGTGAAGGAGGGGTGGGTTTGAGTCATGTGTTCCTTGTGGTAATTCTTTTTGTAATATCACAACTTGCCTGTTGGGATACTTAAAAGAATGAAAGGCATTGTTGAGCACCAAAGTGGCTCCAGTAAGAGGGCAGAACCACTTGGCAACCCTGCATCCAGATGGGCTTTGATGTGTTGAAGTTTCTGACCTTTAGATGACTCCCAGTCTTCCAATTCCATTTCTTTAAGCAAAATAGAAAGTAATGGGCAATGGAGAGTAAGTCAGGTTTGCTGTTCTCAGAAAGCACAAGTGTTTGAGTTGACCATGGAGAGTGCCTTGATCAGGTAGAAATTAATTGCTTTTCTGTATGACTGATAAATACTTGCATTATTACAATATAAGACATTTTTCAAATTAAGTTTTTAGATTTTAGTTTTACAGCCGAATTAAAAAGACTTTGGCTTATTATAAACAGATGTCAGCACTGCCACAGCACTAGTAGGAGGACTATTCTAAACTCAGCTTTAGTTTGTAAAAGCAGAATTTTTTTTCCCCTGCTTGTAAGCATTTATATTAATTGATGTAAAATTATTTTAGTCATCACTTTTCTAACTTCCTTGAGAAGATTACCCTTCCTCCTTAATTTCTCATTCTTCTAGTTGACAAATGATAGTGCTTTTATATATGAGACTTGAAGTAAAAACATCTGAAACAACTACTCAGTCAGCACGTTAAGTAGGATGCTGAAAACCTAAAGTCAGTCTTATCTGATGCTGAACTCAGAGGTTGCCTTGTAAGTTGTTTTCAGTTGTCCTGTGTGGTATTTAGCAAATGATTGCTTTCTGATCCACCTTAATAAGAAACTGCTGGCAAGTAATGTGAGGAGTGTTTTGTAAAAGTATCTTAAACTTTGATAACAGCATAATAAGTTTATCTCAGTGTAATGAAATACAAGCAGGTAGGAATTGCTTCTGCACTGAAATGCTGTACCTTTGCAATTAATAAGGTTACTTCATGTTTGGTGTTTTTTCAAAAGTGTGGTGAGAAAACTATGAGAGTCTTGGAGGAAAACCCAACTTTAAACTGTGAGGGAACTGTGCTGTGAGTGCAGTGCAGGTGAGCTCAGGAGGAGCATCTTACAGCCACCAGCACGGTGATGAGGTTGGTTGGGGGGGCATTTGGGTATTTTTCTTGTCAGTTTTCTTAATTGCTTCATCTGTCCCCCAAGAGTGGAGCCAGCAAGTCAGGTGTTCTTTTGGAGTTATAGTCAGCTGGGTGTTTGCATCAGGTGGTTCGTTCCATCCTGGTGTAGCCACTGTCTCCTGGCTGTGCAGGGTCCCTGGTGGCACTCCCTGTGCTCCATCCCCATGTCCCAACACTGCAGAGAGAGCTGCCCGGATTCCCTGACAGTGCTGAGCACAGCGGGGTGTCCTCTCCCAGCACACATTTCCAGTCCCTGGTGCAGTGGCAGGGCAGCACCGGCACACCCACGCCTGCTGTGCTGGGTGTCATCACCTCAGGGACAGGCAGGACTTGTTTCAGGAGCACAGGCCCATCATTCAAGCAGCAAGAAACTGCTCCAAACAGGGTCTTAGTCAGAAAGGACAAACAGAAAGAGGAACAATTGCCAGGGGCAACTTCTTGAAGGTTGTGTGCAGCAACTCAGAGGTTCAGGTGCTGAATGATTCCAACAAGGAGTCTGACCCTTCAGAGGAACTAGGTTGTGATGCCTGTGCAGCTTATGCTAAGGAAAAAAAACCTCAGGAGCAGTTAATTGAGGGTGAGATAAGGAAAGAGTTTAATTTGTGCCAAGGCTGTGCCGGAGATGTTACATTTTATAACACTGCTTGACCAATCCAAGTTTTGTCCATTCCGTTGCCTTTGCTCTGGTCCACCCCCTAGGCCACCCCCTGGGAACTGGGTCTGGGGGCTTTTGGGATCACTTCTTCATCATTCTCATCATCCTCAGAGCACAAAGGGTACCCGGTCACCCAGTTCTTGACTCTGTTCTGTTGTTCAGGCCAAGATATGAGTGTTCTCTGAACAGTATAGGCCTTGCCTTGACAAAAGACTAAACATTCCTACTGAATTCAGGGGTAGATTTGATATGGGGAGCATGGAATGGGGTAAGAGGGTTGAGGAATGTGTAAACTACTTGTGCTACAGGGTAGGGAACAAGGGCTGCTGCTTCTACTTCTTACAAAACTTATAAAGCTTACAAAATTAGAAAAATAAGAAACTAAAAAGGTCTTAAGGCATCAATTGCTACCTTCTAGAAATTTAGTTTCAGTTTTCTGAGTGAGGGA